CCCCAAAACCCCAAAACCCCAAAACCCCATTTCTCGATAAATACAAGAATAATTGAGAATAAAAAATGAAATACCAGAATCAACAATTCAATAGTGGTTCTTTTATCCTCTAACCCTCCAATCCTATTTATGATAAGAATCCTATTCAATCACAAATGATTCCCAAGAGAGGGACACACAGAAGAACGAGATCTACGATGCCTGATGAACTGAATTTGATGATTTCAGGGCTAGGAGGTCAAAAAAATCAAAATCAGATGAATAATATAAAGTCAGATCGAATCGATGATGGATTAACTCATAATCAGTTCCCAAATAATACGCAATATGTATTAACGAATAATAAGATGATATTCAGAACATATCTAGGACATGATTAAGAAGTAATTACGAACGAAACATTCCATAATTATAACAAGACTAAAGATAGTAAATCTTTCATAAGTACTTACTCAAGTGATTTGTTTAATCACTAAATTGAACCTATAATATCAGAAGAAGATGCTCAATATGAAAGTGATGTTCCAATAACCTAATTGGTAGATATAAACGATATAAATTTGAGCAACTAGAATCTTTTAAGCATAAAGCCTCATATTCTGATTGACTAAGTTGACAATACTAATCAAATAAATCAAATCATCAGCAATCGTCAAAAATTCGAGGATGAATAAAATTAATAAACTCTTCAAAGCTCGATTGATTTTGAAATAGAAGAAAATTTTCAATAAAATTCAAAATAAATGGATTTTTACAAATCATCAAACTCAAACAACAATACACATCAACTTCAATAAAATATATAAGAAAAGTCATAACCTAAATGGCATCCTAAAGAAAACAATAGTTATATGATTGCTATTTAGCAAGCTAAAATCTATGAGTAAGATATGAATAAGAAATTCGGAGCAGCCTAATTAGTCTAGAAAGGGATCAATGGTGATAGGAATCCGCACGAAAGAGGAAATAGATAATAACTTAAATAGTGAGTTATGTTCAATAATAATACTACTTGAACTAGTATCCACTCTCTATTCTTTAATCTAGATTTAACTGTTTAATGTATATACATATATTTTTAAGAATTAAGATTTTACTTCTCATAATGATTGATAATACATCAGCGGGGTTTTGGGGTTTTGGGGTTTTGGGG